GAAAGACATGCCTGGCACTAAAATAACATTTCCTCTGTTCATTAGTCACATTCCCACGCCCCTCTTACATTCATTTGCTTTCCACTTTGAATTTTTATTCTCACAAAAAAAAAAATAGAAGATTTACTGTTATGCAGATTACTGCGTTAGTGTAGAAATGGTATAAATAATATCAGCGCACTCGTGAGAATATTAGACTCGCCAGTTGACGTGTATTGGACACTTGGCATGATTTGTTTACTTTTGATCTTTGGTAAAAATCGAACGTTTCTGCTACTTTGAGCTCAATTTCAAGGTACTTTTCATTGTAAAATCAGTCAAAATCATCTCAATTTCTGTAATATGTCTTCCATTCTATAAAATGAGACCAGGAAAACTAGAATACAACAATAAATACCATACGAAAATAATGGAAAGTCCCTGTTTTAATCCAAAAACACTGTTAAAGTTGTTTTTCTCATTACGCACTGTGTGCTGCAGGATTTTTTTTATACTGCGCACACTACTACATAGACCCATTCTTTCATATGTAGGCCTACCAGCTTTCTCTCATTAGATTTGACAGTGCTAGAATTTATACGTACTAGTATGTCAAAAAACCCTGCGTGTAAGACGTACTAGTACGTCTGAAACCCCGAAAGGGTTAAGATATCTTCCCAACATGTTTTCATTTAGGACATGGTTTACCTGGTCCCAGTTGATGTTCTTGTTGAAGTTGTATTTTGTGAAGACACCTTCACAGGTACATGCATTCTGCTGATCAGGACCCCTATGCATGTATGTCTGGACTTCGATTAGGTTGTGATCGGAATTAGTTGTTTTTGATATTCTTATGTCTCTTATCAGGTCCTCATTATTTGTGAAGATAAGGAGGGGTTTGGGATATTGGCAGTTTGGAGAGATACGTTGTGTATCTTTATATGTAATGCTTCTAAGCTGTTGTATTCTGGCCCCCTCTAAAGCATGATAATGTGTGAGATGTGGTGAAGTGTTGAATGTGATGAAGTATTTTCTTTTTGGGATTTTCTTTCTTTTTGGGTCCCTGCCTCGTGGGAGACGGACCGACTTGTTGAAAAAAAAAAAAAAAAAAAAAAAATGTCAAGTGTGTTTTCTAGTGTTGTTGGCTCCACTATCTGCTGGCTTTTATTAACTCCACACTTTCTCCTAATTTCCATACTCTGAATTTTCTGCGTAATATTTATACCTTACATTGCCCTTAGACAGGACGTCTCCACTGGCTCCAACCGCCTCCTCACTGCTGTATTCACAACCCAAGCTTCACACCCATATAAGAGTGTTGGTACCACTATACTTTCATACATTCCCTTCTTTGCCTCCATAGATAACGTTTTTTGTCTCCACATATACCTCAATGCACCACTCATCTTTTTCCCTTCATGAATTCTATGATTAACCTCGTCTTTCATAAATCCATCCGCTGACATGTCAACTCCCAAATATGTCTGAAAACATTCACTTCTTCCATACTACTCTCCAGTTTGATATCCAATTTTTCTTCATCTAAATCATTTGATACCCTCATCACCTTACTCTTTTCTATGTTCACTTTCAACTTTCTACCTTTACGCACACTCCAAAGCTTGTCCACTAACTTTTGCAATTTTTCTTTAGAATCTCCTTTAAGTACAATATCATCAGCAAAAAGCAACTGTGTCAATTCCTATTTTGTATTTGATTCCCCATAATTTAATCCCATCCCTCTCCCAAACACCCTAGCATTTACTTCTTTTACAACCCCATCTATAAATATATTAAACAACCATGGTGACATTGCATATCCCTGTCTAAGACCTACTTTTACCGGGAAGTAGTCTCCCTCTCTTCTACACACCCTAACGTGAGCCTCGCTTTCCGCATAAAAGCTCTTTACAGCATTTAGTGACTTACCACCTATTCCATATACTTGCAGCATCTGCCACATTGCTCCCCTATCCACTCTGTCATATGCCTTTTCTAAATCCATAAATGCAGTGAAAACTTCCCTACTGAGTATACCAGGAAAAGTGTACGGTAGGGTTATAATTGAAAGAATTAGAGGTAAGACAGAATGTAGGATTGTGGATGAGCAAGGAGGTTTTAGAGTGGGTAGGAGATGTCGATCAAGTGTTTACATTGAAGCATATATGTGAACAGTATTTAGATAAAGGTAGGGAAGTTTTTATTGCATTTATGGATTTAGAAAAGGCATATGATAGAGTGGATAGGGAAGCAATGTGGCAGATGTTGCAAGTATATGGAATAGGTGGTAAGTTACTAAATGCTGCAAAGAGTTTCTATAAGGATAGTGAGGCTCAGGTTAAGGTGTGTAGAAGAAAGGGAGACTACTTCCCGGTAAAAGTAGGTCTTAGACAGGGATGTGTAATGTCACCATGGTGGTTTAATATATTTATAGATGAGGTTGTAAAAGAAGTAAATGCTAGGGTGTTCGGGAGAGGGGTGGGATTAAATTATGGGGAATCAATTACAAAATGGGAACTGACACAGTTGCTTTTTGCTGATGATACTGTGCTTATGGGAGATTCTAAAGAAAAATTGCAAAGGTTAGTAGACGAGTTTCGGAGTGTGTGTAAAGGTATAAAGTTGAAAGTGAACATAGAAAAGAGTAAGGTGATGAGGGTATCAACTGATTTAGATAAAGAAAAATTGGATATCAAATTGGGGAGTAGTATGGAAGAAGTGAATGTTTTCAGGTACTTGGGAGTTGACGTGTCCGTGGATGGATTTATGAAAGATGAGGTTAATCATTGAACTGATGAGGGAAAAAAGGCGAGTGGTGCATTGAGGTATATGTGGAGACAAAAAACCTTATCTATGGAGGCAAAGAAGGGAATGTATGAAAGTATAGTGGTACCAACACTCTTGTATAGGTGTGAAGTTTGGGTTGTGAATGCAGCAGCGAGGAGGCGGTTGGAGGCAGTGGAGATGTCCTGTCTAAGGGCACTGTGTGGTGTAAATATTATTTAGAAAATTTGGAGTATGGAAATTAGGAGAAAGTGTGGAGTTAATAAAAATATTAGAGGGCTGAAGAGGGGTTGTTGAGGTTGTTTGGCCATTTAGAGAGAATGGATCAAAGTAGAATGACATGGAGAGCATTTAAATCTGTAGGGGAAGGAAGGCGGGGTAGGGGTTGTCCTCGAAAAGGTTGGAAGGAAGGGGTAAGGGAGGTTTTGTGGGCGAGGGGCTTGGACTTCCAGCAGGCGTGCATGAGCGTGTTCGATAGGAGTGAATGGAGATGAATGGTATTTGGGACCTGACAATCTGTTGGAGTGTGAGCAGGTTAATATTTAGTCAAGGAATTCAGGGAAACCAGTTACTTTTATATAGCTGGACTTGAGTCCTGGAAATGGGAAGTACAATGCCTACACTCTAAAGGAGGGGTTCGGGATATTGGCAGTTTGGAGGGATATGTTGTGTATCTTTATGCGTATGTGCTTCTAAGCTGTTGTTTTCTGAGCACCTCTGCAAAAACAGTAATTATGTGTGAGTGAGGTGAAAGTTGAATGATGATGAAAGTATTTTCTTTTTGGGGATTTTCTTTCTTTTTTGGGTCACCCTGCCTCGGTGGGAGATGGCCGACTTGTTGAAAAAAAATATATATATATATATATGATTCAATGTAAACACTTGATCTACACATCCCCTACCCACTTTAAAGCCGCTTTTCTCATCCGCAATCCTACTCTGTCTTACCTCAAATTTTTTCAATAATAACCCTACTGTACACTTTTCCTGGTATGCTCAGTAAACTTCTTCCCCTATAATTTTAGTCTATTTTGTACCCCTTCCCTTTATATAAAGGAACTATACATGCTCTCTGCCAATCCCTAAGTACCTTCCTTTCTTTCATACATTTATTAAACAAAAATACTAACCACTTCAACACTATATCCTCCCCCTGCTTTTAACATTTCTGTCATGATCCTGTCAGTTCCAGCTGCTTTACCCCCTTTCATTCTACATAATGCCTCGTGCACCTCCCCCACACTTACATCGTGCTCTAATTCATTCCTAAAAGATGTCATACCTCCCTGGCCAGTGCATGAAATTACCACCTCCCTTTCTTCATTGACCTTTAAAAGTTCCTCAAAATACTCCTGCCATCTACCCAATACCTCCAGCTCCCCATCTACTAACTCCCCTACTCTTTTTAACTGACAAATCCATTCGTTCCCTAGGCTTTCTTAACTTGTTTATCTCCACAAAATTTTTTCTTATTTTCATCAAAATTTCTTGACAGTGCTTCTCCCACTTCATCATCTGCTCTCTTTTTGTACTCTCTCACCACTCTCTTCACCTTTCTTTTACTCTCCATATGCTCTGCTCTTCTAATAACACTTCTGCTTTGTAAAAACCTCTCATAAGCTAACTTTTTCTCTTTTATCACACCCGTTACTTCATCATTCCACCAATCACTCCTCTTTCCTCCTGCATCCACCGTCCTCTAGCCACAAACTTCTGTCCCACATTCTAATACTGCATTTGCAAAACTATTCCAACCCTCTTCAACAACTTCCCCCTGCCCCCCACTACTCACACTTGCACCAGCCCACCTGTCTGCCAGTAGTTGCCTGTATCTCACCCTAACTTCCTCCTCCTCTAGTTTATACACTTTCGTATCTCTCTTACTTGCTGTTGCCTTTTTTTTTTTTTTTTTTTTTTTTTTTTTTGGTCCCATGTACCTCTTACTCTAACTGTAGCTACAACTAAATAATTATTCGATGTATCAGTTGCCCCTCTATAAACCTGTACATCCTGAAGCCTACCCATCAACCTTTTATGTACCAATTCATAATGTAACAAATTACTTTCATTACATGCTATATCATACCTTGTATACTTACTTATCCTCCTTTTTTTATTTATCCTTTTTTCTCTTCATTTAATCGCAGTTGAAATGGAAATATGAAAGCTGTAGTTATGGTAATTATGTATTAAATTGATATACTGGGTAATTTATTATACATATATGAATTCTGCAGCCCAACTTTGGAACCACAGTTCATTCTCCCCCAATGGCTGGGAAACCAATTCCGCTCATAGAAAAATCACTGGAGGAGGATGACGCATCCCAATTGCATCCTCGAGAAGGTGAGACTGGTTCTGTTGCAAATCTTACTCAATTAATAGTTTTTTTTTTATCATTCTTGGACCAGATAGGATATTGCTAGGGTTGCTAATATACAAGTAAAGTATTAATCTTTTTGTTGTGTCATGCAACATTGCTTTGGTTCCTAACTATTAACAAATGTGACTGCTTATGAGTTTTTTCATTACCTTATTTTTAATAAGAAACCATAGGATTTCCATATCTGATACCTATTTTTCTCTAAGAAACATTGATGTTTGTGTATTCATCAGTTTGAGGTTGCAAGGGGTCAGTTCTCAGATCGTGGCTTTGCCTCTTAGCTTGCCACTTGCCAGATTTGCTCCCGTTTAGCCTCGTGGGGCCCTATCATGTTTTCTCTTAAAACTGTGTATGGAGCCTTCCTCTTACTTCCTCTTCTAGGTCATTCCACTTTCTGACCACACTAAGATTGAAGAAATGCTTCCTGACACCTCTGTGACTCGTCTCTCTCTAACTTCCAGCTTTCATTTCTGTTTACAAGTATCTGTTTTGCTCCTGTCACAACCCATCCTGTCTTCCCTATTAATCCTCTGAGTATTTTGTATGTTATTAGTGATGGGATAGTACTATAATTTTTGCCCAGTCTGATAATCAGTTTTATGCTAATGCCATTACCATTGAAATTAACAAGTATCCACTGATACTGTGGAAGTTAACCAATACCCACGAACACAGTACATACATGATTTTGGCTGATACCATCATGATTAGCCAATACCCACCAATACCTTGGCACACCCCTACTTCTCATGTCTTTCTGGGTTTTCTCCTCCAGTGTCATTAGTTTCATTTCCATTAGCCTTGTCTCATGGCTCATGCCCCTTAGCACTGAAACGAATTCTTGTCATACTCTGCGCTTTCTTCAGTTTCTTAAAATGCTTTTTTTCAGGTGTGGATTCCATGCTGGTGCATACTCCAAGAAGGTTCTGACACACATTGTATAAAGGACTCAAAATCTCTTTGTTCAGGTTCCTGAAGGATTCTTAGATTTGCCAGACGAGCATTAGTTGCAGAGGTTATCTGGTTGATGTGTGCCATTTGTTGGTGATATGCTAGGCACTCTGCTCAGCCCCTAGGTCTTTGTTCGAGTGTCTGAAATAGTGCACTAAAAATAAATTGTGCAGCTGTTTTCATTTAATTTTTATTCTTTATATTAAATAAGCTTTCTATTGGCACTTGCGCTGCTAGCACAAGCGCTCATCTTGTGAAAATAAATTTAATCGTTTTGCTGTTGGTCATTTAAATCTATATAGGTGTGATCAGTATTGCTGCCATAGGTCTAAGCATAATTCATAGTGCCCTCAAATTTTCTGTGAGCAGCAAATTTTGGATGAGACAAGAGAATGTGTGTGGTGGGTGCATTTAAGGAAAAAAAAAAAAAAACCTGCCCCATGCAATGCTTGATGGAAACGGCTGACCTCTGACCTTGTGTTGGGGTTAAAATAGCAACTGGGGTATTGGTTTTATTAGTTGCTGCTTGATGTCAGTATATAGACTGGAAAATATAATAGCAATATGGATAAGATTTTGGCCAGTTTCAGAACAAAAGTGGCCTGAAATAGGCCTCAGTGACAGAAATGGCTGATTTTGTGTGGTTTTCTTGGTAAGGTAGGGGCATCCAACAGCCTCCCTTCCCTTCCCAAACTTTTTTTTTTTTTTTTTTTTTGCTAGGTCTACTTAGTGTTGGGATGGCCTAGCCCATGGTCAAGCATCCTTGGTTATGGTTTATAAGCGAGACATGGGCAAAAACATTGTGTGGAATGGGGGGGGGGGTTGAAGGGCTAGATGGATATAATTTTTATACTTCACTGGTTATCTCCTGTCAAGGCTTACAGTTTTAGCATGTGAATATGTGTGACGTAAGTCTGGTGGCAAACTTGAGTTGAACAATATAACCTGAGAACAAGTTGCTTTCCCAAGTACAAAACTTTTAGTAGGCTTTTATTTCACTCATGACTGGATAGTTGTTCTTATGTGGTTGCTGTCTAACAACCTATTATTGCTACTTTTAATTGTCAAATAAATTTCATATGATATTTAGCAGAAATGTATTAATCTTCTGAATGTTTTTTGCTTTTTCAGCTAGGTTGGTTTTTTTTTCATTCTGATATTTTTAAAAAAACATGGTAATTTTTTTTAAAATTGTTTTGGGAAAAGGGCTCCCTTTCCGAAGCTAAAAAATGCTTTTAGTGTTCCCTGTGTTACTTCAGTTTTTTTTTTTTTTTTCCCCCTCAGAGGGCCAAAAAAAGAAAAAAGGCAATGAGTGTCCCCTGAAAGAAAGGTTGAAGCATTTGATAATAAAAAGTCAGGGGTTTTTTTTAAAAGTTCTGGATCAGTTACTGCCCCTTGGGTTTGTCCATATTTAAAACAGAGAAAATTTTTTCCCATCAAAAAATTTAAAAGGAAAAGAATCTAAATGCTCCCGTTTGGTAAAGGGCTACTTTAAGAATATTAACAAAACCACTTTTTGAGGGCTTCAAAGGATCTGATGGGGTCTTCCCTTTCAGTGAAAAAAAGTCTGATGCTAGTAGGATCATTTAAAAACCTGTGTCTAAGCCCTTTAGAGAACCCTTGGGGAAGCAGAGGGGAAGCTCTAGTTTACAAAATGTTAATGACAAAAAAAAGTAGAAATTTAGGAAAGAATTTAAAAAAGGGATTTTAAAAGGGGTCTTTGGATGCAACACAAAAAAATTCCCTTTTTTGTTTGATGCACTTGCAAGTGTAATCCTCAGGGATTAAAAGGGAAAAATTAAAACAGATGGTAAAAAGAAAAGTCAGTTCTACACAAAACTTTAGTTTTACTGACCTGGTATTGTACAGAAATCCTTTAGTTCGGAAGCAAAGGAAACAATTTATTAAAGCCAAAAAACAAAAAAAAGGGGGAAAAGGCCGAGGTTTATTTCTGTTGGTAAAAAAAATGTTGCCAAAAAAGGTTTTCAGAAAACTTGTAAAGAATTTTGGGTAAAAAATTAAAGCCACCCCCACGAGTCAGGTCACACAGGCCGGTTTTTGGGGGTCTCACACAAAACAGGAGAAACTAAAAAAAACGAAGTAAAAATCAGTCCCGAGGATGCAAAATATTCCCCTTTAAAACAAATTTTACTTCCCAAAAAAGAAAATTTTTGAAAACATAATATTGATGAAACTATTAAAAAAGGGGTCCATACAAAAACCCCCTTTTGATGAAGCCAAAATTCCCGGGTAACAGGTTTTTACGAGGGTAACCCCTTTTGGCTTTTATGCCCCTCAAACCGGGTTTACCATTGTCTGGGCCCCCAAAAATCAAAAACATCAGGGATGCCTTCAAGGGGAGGGCCAGTAGGCAAACAGCCCTTTTAAAATTTCCCCCGTCTATAACTAATCCTAGAAAAAAAAAGGGACTGCCTAAAATGGGGGGGATCTTAAGCTCCCCTCAAAAGGGGCCATTTTAAAATTTAAACCAAAAAAAACCCCCAACACTTTTTGGTCATGGCCCATTGATTTACCAGGTTAAAAAAGGGTTTATAAAAAAACCCCAAAAACCTTGAATAATCTTTCCCCTTTAAAATTTCTAAATTTTTGAATCTTCACCAATAAAGGGAAGAGATTTTGAAAGTTTCAAGTAGCCGCTACTTACGATCCACTAGTTTCCCGCAGGGTTGCGACCATTGGGAGGGCAGGTTGGGGACTTTCCACTTAATTTTGCCCGTTTAAGCAAATTTTACTGCAAAAAGTCCCGCGGGAGTATTCCCCTCGCCACGAGAATGTATCTCAAAAAAGGTGGGGGGTACCAAATTTTTAATACCGAAAAATGTAAATATGGGGGTTTAAAAAAATAATTTTACTTTAATTGTAAATTTAAAAAAAAAAATTAAAAAACCAAAAAGTTTCAGAGGGAAAATGTTTTTAAGTTTTTATTTACTGAAACGGAAAAATTTAATCCAAATATTTTTCCAACTGATGGAAAAAAATTTCAGTACGTTTATAGCTTCCCAATTCATTAGTAAAAAAATAATTTTAAAAATTTTTTAGTGCCCGGTGAAAAAAATGAATCTTCCCCAACAGTAATTTTCCCTAATGTTGGGGTGATTGGATTCTTCAGATGTGACCCTTAATTTTATAATCCAAAAACCTCGCTGGGTTCAGGTTTCCCCAAGTGATGGAAGGGAAAAAAATTTTATAGGGGTTTTTTAAATTCCCGAAAGTGTTCCCGGCTGTAGATTATTACGTTTGGGCCCCACTTATACAGCCCGGTTTGGTTTAGGGGTCCCCCCGGGGAAAACAGAACGCCCTTTTTTTTTCCCCCTTAAAAAACATATTAAAACCAGAAAAATTTTTCAAAAAACATATATTTAAGGGTTGCAATGAACCTTTGGATTCAAAACAATGAAAATAAAAAACACAACCCGTACAATTTATTATTTTCCCCCAAATATTTATTTGTCTTAATGTAGGGCCCAAAAAAAAAGAGTAGCATTTTTCTTAAGAAAATTAGGTGTGGTAGCCCCCCTGGCCACCCCACAATCATTTACGACGTTTCTTAAATAGTGGGTAAATGCATAAAACCCGTGCGCTCATTACTTCCCTTTAAAATTTTTTGTAGTCTTAATGTAGGGGGAAAGGGGGAAAAGTTAAATTTTTTTTAGAAAAATGGTGTGGTAGGTTTTGGGTAGTGTAGGGAAGCCCGCCCGGCCACCCCACCCCCCCCCTATGTAAACAAAAAAAAAAAGATTTTCGAATGGTTTTGGTTCATAAAAATTTTATAAAAAAAACCTTTTTTTGTGTAGGGAAATTGTTCCCGTGGTACAGTTGAAATTTTAAAAAAAGGGGAAAAAAACTTTCCCTTTTTCATTTAATTTTTAGAAGGAAAGATTTCTCTGACAAAATTATTATAAATTTTTTTTAAAAGGTTTTTTTTTTTTGTTTTTTTTTTTTTTTTTTTTTTTCCCAAAAAGTTGGGTCTCCCACCGAGGCCGGGTGACCCAAAAAAAAAAAGAAAGAAAATCCCCAAAAAGAAAAATATTTTATTATCATTCACACTTTTTCCCATCCCACATTATCACTGTTTTGCAGAGGTTTCTCAAAAATAAAAACAGGGTTTTGAAAACATAAATATAAAGATACACAAAAATCCCTCCAAACTGCCCAAAATTCCCCAAAACCCTTTCCCCTTTAAAATGCAGGGATTGTACTTTCCCCTTTAAAGGACTTTAAAAAGGGTTTCCTCCAAAATTTCCCAACTTCCCTAATTTTTTTAACAAAAAGTCACCCCACGCTTGTGGAAGTCCAAGCCCCCCCGCCCCAAAACCCCCTTTACCCCCCCCCTTCCAACCCCCTTTCGGGGACGACCCTTTCCCCTCCCCCCCCCCCCCCCCCCCCCTTTTTTCCCCCATAGATTTAATGCTTTTCCCTGTTTATTCTACTTTGATCCATTCTCTTTTAAATGAACCAAAAACCCCCTTTAATAACCCCCCTTCTGCCCTTAAATTAAAGCTTTTTAATTCCCACACCTTTTCCTAATTTCCACACTCCGAATTTTTCTGCCCTTAAAAATTTAAACCCCATTGCCCCTTTGACGGAACTCACTGCCCCCCAAAAGTCTCCTCGATGTGCATTTACCCCCCCAAATTCACACCCCTATAAGAGTGTTGGGGGATAATATTCTTTCATACTTTCCCCTTTTTTACCTCCAAAAGATAAAAATTTTTTTTCTCCACATTACCCCAAAGCACCCTCCCTTTTTTCCCCCTTCAAATTTTTTGATTAAAATCATCCTTTTAAAAAATCAAACCCCCGAACGTTTAAATCCCAAATAAATTTAAAAACATTCATTCTTTTCCTACTTTTCCCCCAATTTGTATTAATTTTTTTTTTATCTAAATTTATTTGATACCCTCATCCCTTACCTTTTCTATGTTCATTTTTAAATTTTACCCTTTTAAAACATTCCCCAAAAATCATTTTCCCCTAAAACCTTTTCAATTTTTTCTTTTTGAATCTCCTTTAAACAAAAGTATATAAACCCAAAAAATAACTTTTCAATTTCCATTTTTGAAATTTTATTCCCCCTAATTTTAAACCCCCCCCTCTCCCCAACACCCCGCATTTACTTCTTTTACAACCCCATCTATAAATATATTAAACAACCATGGTGACATTACACATCCCTGTCTAAGACTACTTTTGCCGGGAAGTATTCTCCCTCTTCTACACACCCTAACCTGAGCCTCACTATCCTCATAAAACTCTTAGCAGCATTTAGTTACTTACCACCTATTCCATTTACTTGCAAACATCTGCCAATTGCTCCTCTATCCACTCTATCATTATGCC